AAGGGACGATGGACGGGGCCATGTACCGTCAAATCTTGGGTGAGAACCTCCTTCCCTCAGCCAGGGCATTGAAATGGGTCGTGGATGGGTATTCCAGCATGACAATGACCCAAAACACACGGCCAAGGCAACAAAGGAGTGGCTCAAGAAAAAGCACATTAAGGTCCTGGAGTTGCCTAGCCAGTCTCCAGATCTTAATCCCATAGACTATCTGTTGAGGGAGCTGAAGGTTCGAGTTGCCAAACGTCAGCCTCGAAACTTTAATGACTTGGAGAAGATCTGCAAAGAGGAGTGGGACAAAATCCCTCCTGAGATGTGTGCAAACCTGGTGGCCAACTACAAGAAACGTCTGACCTCTGTGATTGCCAACAAGGGTTTTGCCACCAAGTACTAAGTCATGTTTTGCAGAGGGGTCAAATACTTATTTCCCTCATTAAAATGCAAATCAATTTATAACATTTTTGACATGCGTTTTTCTGGATTTTGTTGTTGTTATTCTGTCTCTCACTGTTCAAATAAACCTACCATTAAAATTATAGACTGATCATTTCTTTGTCAGTGGGCAAACGTACAAAATCAGCAGGGGATCAAACACGTTTTTCCCTCACTGTACGTATTTTTAAGTAGGGCTTAGGATTTTGTCTCCCTAGATGTGGGTCATAGTGCCTCTTCGTCCTATCAACTCGGGCTATTAAGCAATACGCAGTCATGCGGTAATCCCACCTTGCTAGAGCAGCACTGCTCTAGCTCAAGCTCTCTCTCTTTAAAATACCCACAAGTAATTAACAACTATGCTTGTAGCGCGACTCCCAAGATACCAAGAGCATTAAACAGCAAGCCTTTTAAAAATAGCTTTCCCATTTTGCTAAAACACGTGAATCTTGTCGTATAGGAGCTTCACATTTATTTTAATGTCTGAAGAATTGGCTTCCAGATCCAATTCTGGTTGGAGTAAGAGCCATGGAAGGTATGACAGTTGGCTGTGATATCACAATCAGCCAAGTTTTATTTATTTAGAGTTGAAATGCATTATGATGCATCTTGCGGACATTCCCATAATTACACTGCAATTCCCTTTGCAGCCTGGCAATTGTATTTATAGCTGTTGGGTGAATAATTCCCTTGTAACCTCAACGTCCAATCTCATGCCACCCAGAAGCTGTGAATCCGAGAAATGCATGAGCATCTAGTCAATGGTTAGCAGCATTGATGCAAGTTCAAACTCCTAAACTGGGGTCCTGGAGAGGGCTGCCTTACCACAGAGCATTCGAGATAAAAGGAGCCAGGAGTCCAGCTGTCCCCCCATTGCACAAGCCCCGTATTGATGCGAGGTAACGAGCACTGACGTGCATGGGGGTGGCGGCCTTTGATCTGTGGCAGATGTGCACGGACACACTGTCTTGGTGCCCAAACTCGTGCATTGTGCGATTTGTGCCGCCGGATATCTGCACATACGCCCTCCTCTTTGTTTGCTTCTTGAATTCAATCCCAGGGGTTGCCATAAATTGCCCCAGGAGCAGTGTAAATTGACTTAGAAGAGGAATTGTACTTGCCATTTAATCTTGAATGAAAAAATATATATGCTGTGTGTGATCAACCATTTTAAAGTCAAGGTCAGGTTTTTTTAAAAGGTATTTTCAATTCTTTATTCATTCTTTAATGTGTGCACCGTTTTAATACTGCCAAGTCGTACAAAGGGTTTCGCAAGGGCAACAGAAGTCAATGTCTCACCTTTTGGTTTTCAACAGACCCAATATTTTTGGCCTAACTTTTAGCACCTGATAAGACCAGTTTTCATAAGACTTAAAAATTCCTATATTATACTTAGATTTTTCAGTTTTATCAGATGTTATCAGGCCGTGCATGTTAAGCCAACCTGGATGGCACGAGTATATCTCTTGTGCAAATGACTTGCCATTTACATCGGAAGGTGTCATGGGTGAAGGAATGGACTTACACGTGACGAGGTCACATGTCACAAGAGCGGTTGTGCTATGAAAGCGCATATCTAAACTACAATGGCATATATGCCATACGTTGGTCGACTTTACGGAGTTTCCCACCAGCAGTGGCAGTTCCAGGCATTCCCACTTAAAAAAGGGAAAGGATCCAGGCGTTCGAAACCTCATACAGGCTGGTATGGGTAAGTGCCATCATGCATGATTGCATGTCACTGGCCTCATGTTCTGCTCTATGGTATATGATATTGTAAGACAGCATTATGCCATAATAATATATACCCTCACGTATGATATTGACCAATGTCCTAACCAGGGACACAAAGTTGCGCCACATCACACCAATTTGTATTTGTCTGGTGCCTCAGCATCAATGCTATCATTATAAACGGCTGCTATATGTTGTCAATTGTCATATAATAAGCTGAGCCACAAAACTTATAATAGCAAGCACTCGTAACAAGAAGTGTGCATCGTTATGTAGTGGTCACAAATGACGAGTCGAGATGAAGCAATACAAAAATTGCTGACTATATAACACTTGGGGTATGAAATAAATGTACACCAATTATCAGGGTTTATTTTAAGTATCAACCAAAAACATCTAAATGTATTATCTGTAAAAAAAACACCAATGAGAATTGACTTTTAGTTATATAGTGTGCCATGCGTTGTGGACGATGGGTTATGGGAAATATGTTTTGGTGCAAGTATATATTTTTTCTGCCGTTGCTATATCTGGGATTTAAAAGGAAATTTAAAACTACTTATAAAGTCAGCAGGAAACAGCACCAATGACATAAAAAATATCTAAACTCAGATTTGACATGTAGAGTGCAGCACTATGAGCAAGACTGTCCAAGAACACACGAGTGCTCCATTATATATTTATTATACAAATGCTCTATGCTATTTTTTGCTAAAATCACTACATTGAAAACACAGTATTACAGTGATGTAAACACGTAATATAACAAATCTAATCTACAATTTGCTTTAGTTCCTTTTCAAACCAGTGAACAATGTGCACTCTGTACACTTGTGGAGTGTTGAGACCTTCCATTATTCCATGCCGTACGACATGTCCACGTATACAACACTCTTCTCACACGCGAACAGGTGCACACAACCGCAGACACACGCACGCACGCGCCATACTCAAGCATACCTCGGGGAACAAAACGTGAGACATTTCAAACGCGCGTATCATCCTTATGTTGGCACCACACATTATATATTATTAGAACTACTTTTTGTGTTTAGCTGTCCTTACCCCGCAACTCCGATTAGCGTGGTTGGCTTCGTACAGTGCAAAAGTTCAACATACATACAACTTTCTTTCGGGTCACATTAACTTCAATAAATTTACTCCCAAGTTTTGCACGTGTGACTCAGCATACATATACATTTACGTTACTTTAAAAACAACATTGTTTTGGCTTGAGTGCCGTAGTAAGAAGGACAAACGTCGAAATTGTTTGTCATTAATTGCCTATTTTTTGGCATGCGAGCTTTGCCATAAACTACTTCAGACAGAACATACTGAAATGTTTGCTTTAACTTGTATACATCTCCTGGATGCAGAGCAACACTTTGGCATTAACATTTTAAAAATCACAGTTCAAAGTAATTCCAATTACATTTGTTATTTGCCTATGTTTATATTAACACATCATATATATACACACACATTTAGGTAATTAGGTACTTCAAAGGAACTACTTCCAAAATACTATACAACTTTATAAATATTATTAAAATGATCAAATTTGAAATTGTAGAGGATTACAAATGTTATACGATACTGCAACACAATATCTAAATAGCTGTTCCAAAATATAGCACACCGCTGTGTGTTAGCACTGAGCACATAGAGCAGATCAATAATCACAATCTACTCTGCGTGCATTTTCACGGTTGGGCTGTACAGCTCTGATTTCAGAAACTAAAAGGAAGTTTTCAATTGGGCGAGGAGCGAAACGTTGGACATCGTGCCAAACAACACGGGGTACAGCCACAAAACGTACTGGACGGAAATATTCGTACTCCTTTACAGTTGCATTAATGTTCGGGCGTTTTTGGTTTACTTTTCGTTTCCTTAAAGGCAATCTCCTCCTTGGTGTAAACAGTCAGTTGGCAGTGAGCCACCTGCCGTTCAGGAAAAAAATACACAATGTTTAAGAGCAAATACATATATTTTTGGTGATACTTAATTGAAGGACAGGCTGCATTGAGGTATTCAACGTCTGTGTTTTGCTTTTCTTGTAGACTTTTATTAAAGCTAAACATGTTTTGTTACGTAGTCTCGTGAATCATTAGACCTCCTTTGCCAGTACCAAAATGTAATAATATAATATATATTATCATAGTATGTTTTTTGTTTGCATTTTGACTGCAGGTATTGAGGTTAATGCAGACATGAATCCTCGTAAGAAGGTTTCAGTTTTGTTGCCAGAAAAAAGGGGAAAAACCCTATTATTACATTTTGGTACTGGCAAAGGAGGTCTAATGATGTAGATGCTCACCCCGAGCCCTCATTACTTTGATAGTGGCATTGTCTTTGAGCTGTACACCTTCTGGCGTCATCTGGTCGAGCGCCAATTGGGTCGAGGCTCAAAAGAAAGCTGTCCCTTGGTGTGGACCAATCAGTTTCAAGGACAATGCATATATTATCATGTTTTTTGTTTGCATTTTGACTGCAGGTATTGTGGTTAATGCAGACATGAATCCTTGTAAAAAGGTTTCAATTTTGTTGCCAGAAAAAAAGGGGAAAAACCCTATTATTAGTCTCGTGAAGTTCGTCTTGCATGTTCAATTTAGTTTAACACGTAGGCTTTCGCGACCAATATTATTCATAATAAAGGTTTTTGGGTTGGATCGCGTTTATTTATAAATGTGTCGTAACCCTCCACCACCCGACACGGCCAATCAGCAAAAAAAGTGTCACGTTGACAAAAGACAAATAATTCACTACTTCAGCCCACCGGTGTGTTGAAGAGTTAATCCACATTTACAGTTTGAGTACGACGTTTCGCTGGTAAATACATCCAGCATCATCAAGCAATTCGCCAGAATGGTAAAGCCCTCGCTTGCTCCCGGTTTTTATATAGAGCAGCAGGGTGACGTCATCACTTAACTCATCAGGTACAGTGATTAGAGGCGGAGGGCGGGGTATTGTAATGTTCAATGATTGCACAGAGCACAACACTTTAGTCCAAATGAATTCAATGCTACGGAGGTAGCATTTCATGTGCAGAGCTACACGAATTTTTGGTTAAAGCTCTCATGAATGTTGCACTTCATGTCAGGGGGTCTCCCTTTCATACAAATACAACCTCTGCGATATTGAGCTCATGTTTAACTGACCAAAACGGTGCGTAAGCATCCTCTCGTGAAGAATCATTACTCCGCTTTGTAAACGAGTTAAGATTTTTCTGTGGCTTCTCATTGCGATGTTGGTTTATTTAGACTTTTCTTTGGCTCGCAACTTCTCACCAACACAATTGTAATGTTAAAGCTTGCACACTGCAACAGTGAAGATATACCTCACATGTAGACCTTAGTCAGGTACCCTCCCATATATACAATATTAAAAAGACCAAAAATATATATTTATACTGCTTCACAATAATGGTCAATCATTCCTTAAATAAACAAGGATATCCTTAATATCTAAGTCGCTGGGATAAAATGTGTATGTCATATGTTTTCCTCTAAAATATGCTTAGCTAGAGGTAAAGCTATACATAGAAATGAGAAGCATGGGTCCGTCTTGATGGCGTAATGCGCTGACATTTCTGGTAGCTAAGAGCGATAGGTGCTTTGTCCTTTAGTATCTGTCAACATTACACAAATGTGTTTAATGTATCTTGTTCAGTTAATTTGTGTTGTAAGAACATGGCATGTAAAACCTATAAAATGTGTTTATCGTTTGATTGCCTCTAGGTTTAATAGAATATGAAGAATACGGTATAAAGCATGCCCTGTCTATAAATGTACTTTTTTAAATTTGGTCTCTACACCACAATGCAGCACACATCACCGAGAGTGTGAGTGCTGCGTATCTTGCTGTGCACGTTCTACGTTCTTCAAGCTGCGCACGCGCCTCTGTTCACAGCATGGGGGGAAGTGGTCGAGATGACGGGCGAGAGGTGTAAGCCTTCTTTGGTTTGGAGTCACCGCCATCCATGGTCGTCTCCACGGGGGCCACGACCAACGTATTGTCCGGCGTGGGCAAAGTTTGCTCGTGAGTCTTGAGCCTCTTGATGGTGTTCTTCAGCATCTGCCGCTTGTTGCAGAACCACACGCGCACCACCTCGCGCTCGTAGCACAGGTGCTCGGCGATGGCCGTCATCTCCTGGCCAGACGGGTGCGTGTTGCGCTCAAAGTAAGCGTTGAGCGCCTCCAGTGCCTGAGGAGTGAACGAGGTGCGGCGCCTGCGCTTCCGCGATGGCTCACTCCCCACAAAGTCGCTCAGGCTCTGCAGGCCGGTGCGCTGCCGAGCCTCGGCCTCCGCCATCCAGCGCTCAAGCACAGGCTTGATCTTCTGCGCGCTCTTAGGTGTGATGTCCAACTTCTCGAACCTGGCAGGACATAAAAGCCGGGGATTCATTTTCATGGGCGGTGTGGAACTGGCTGTGCTGGTAGTGCTAGCATTATCTCTGGCAAGAGGCCAGCCATCGCTAATCCCTTCTCCTCTTCTTGCTCCGAAGGCCGGCAGGAACACGTCGGCTCGCATGAGGAGGGCGTTTCTGCCGGGAGTCGGAGAGAGAAGAGAGTCTCACTTGGCTGCTTGCACTGTAACAATTTTAATAGACTTACGTAAATAGGATATATGGAAGAATCCGACGTATACAAATGTATTGTAGTAGCGTTAAACATCACAACATCATTGCTGCAGCTTTCACATTATGTTTTACCAATTAAATCACCGAATGAACTGTTTCTCTGAGAATGGTGCAAAATGGCAATATTACATGCCAGTTACCTGCAGATGGCAGACTGGCTGTAGGCAGGTGCCTCTGTGCTGCTCATGGCCTGTCCAACCTGTGTTTGCGTGAGCCCCATCGAGAGACGGCGGATCTTAAACGCACGAGCGAACTCGCGTATCTCCTCCAGCTTCATGTTGTCGATATCGCTGCAAGCGCCCTGGGGGTCTGAACATGCACACACACAGGTCATTTGTGCATCATGTCATTACTGTACAATATTATTACTACTGCAGATTCTGAAGTTTCCTTCTTACAGATCATTGTTTCTTGTTCTATCGTGTGCTTTTTGATTGCTTAATTCGATTTCATGTAGTGTAGCGGCAGCCTTCAGGAGTGAGTGTGTCTTTGTGGGTGCCACGGTGGCGAGATGTTAACTACCTCGCCTGGTATACAGGATCATGGGTTCGATCCCGACCTCGACGCCTGTATATTTGGAGTTTGCATGTCTCTCTCCCCGTGGTCGCATGGATTTTTCTTCGGGTCCCCCGGTTTTTCCCTCCATATTTAGACACATGCGTTTAAAGTATTTGGCTGTTATAGACTTTCACAAGATAAGCCACTTCATTAGGCTATCATTTGTGGCGAGGTCGCTTCTGAAAAATAACTATCTAGCTCAGTGGGCCTTACCTGGTAAAACACATATACATAGTTGAACAGTTTTGATAGTTTATTGAACAGTGGATCAGAACTCACTGTGGACTGCCGGCCCAATGCTTGGCGAGGCTGGGGAGAGAGGCTGTGGGACTGGGGATCCTTGGCTCGGTCCGACCGTCAGGGTGTGCTGTGCGTAAGCCTGCGGGGAAACTTGGCTCCTGTGTTGCCCTTGGAGTTGCTGGAATTAGCAGCAGCACCAACATGAACATACATTTATATTAACTCAACACGTGTCAAAAACACTGCCCCTAAAATGAAAAAGTATACAATTGGGGACATTTGGGACAATCACCCTTCTCCATAGCAGCAGAAGATGAAGGGCCTTTATCCGAGATGTCGCCTCGTATCTTTTTTCTTTTTAGGGCAGTGTTATTGATGAATGTGTTGAGTTTTTGTTGCTTGTGCTTGTATAGAGCACTTACCAGCACAAACGGAGAGGCAGGTCAGACACATGCGTGAGCAGTGTGTGGACCGCGGGGCCAACGAGCAACATGGCTCCCTATTGCCTGAAAGAGTGCACCTACGAATAATCTCACTTGCCATTGGTGGAGGGAGACGAATGACTCAGACATACCACCTCCCGACGTGGAAGGTGAGAGGTCAGAAGGTGCGCGCAGTAAATGGGAGATGAGAAGAGGTGTGACGAGGGATGGGAGGAGAGAAGTGATTGGATGGAGGAAAACGGGAGAGAAAGAGTGGGAAGAGGATCAGGGAAGGCTCGGGGCACTTTGATAGTGGAAATTGACATGAGCGCACGCTGCAGAAGATAATAAAATATTCTCACACCTTTTCTACAACCAACGTGTTGGAGTCACTACGTTGGTGGCAGTGGTGGGATCGACTACAAGATGTCTCACGCTGGTCGCAAAAGGAACCCCACTGAGACTCCAGGAGAAGAAGAGGATGGGGCAGTGTCCACCCCAAGCGCCCTGGGCCGAAATGGCCCAGAAGGCCGGCCATTAAGAAGCCCGTTGGCGGCCATGTTTCATGAAAAGACAGAGCTGAGGCAGTAAGCTGAGGAGAGAGAGATGCTGGATACAGAAGGGCCACAGATGGCCGAGGGATGGAGGCGGATGGAAGAGTGAATGGATCGCCTCACAGACGTTGTCATCCTGCTACTACAACGAATTTCGGAGGGAACTGGTCAAGCAAGGGGACTACTTCTGAAGGCGGAGGGGGCAGAAACAGATGACTCCACAACAAGAACCACCTCCAGGATTGCCAGAAGAACCATGACGTCAGGCGGTCCTTGCCGACGGGGATGGTGTCCACCATCATAGGTCGAGCCACAGAGGCTACCACGCTACCCAGGGAGAATCCCCGATTGTAGGGATAGGGAGAACCGGGAAATTGTTCTCTCTTCCTCGGGGAGAGTGAGTCACAGCAGGTAAATATACCTGTGGAAGAAGAGGAGTCACTACGACAGTCACAGAGGATGGGCAAACAAGGACGAAAAGGAGAGGCAAGTAGGAGACAGCTATCTCCAAGTGAAGAATGTGGAGACCATGGAAGGAGGACCCGGAACCACAAGTTGGGTCCCGTGAAGGAGTTTATGGTGGCGGGAAGTGACTGGGGCGCATTTTTATGGCTATTTTAAGTGTCCTACAAGAACCTGGACTGGTCAGAGGAGGAGGCACTGAAGGCCCTACCCACAGTCCTCTATGACGCTTTGACCATCTTCTCAACAATTCCAGAGGCAAGAAGATCCACGCTGACAGATGCTTATCGGGAGATGGCCGAGGTCTTTGAAACGCCATCCAGTGCGAAGCGCCGATTCCAGAAACGATCATGGAAGGAGTTGGAGTCACCCTTAGCGTACCGCAGTGCACTCCTTTCTCGTGCCCAAGCCGCCTTCCCATGACTGGATGATGCAGCCTGGGACTCCTTGGTAGCAGAGAGACTGCTGGCAGGCTCAACAGATGGGTATATTTCTTCCAATATTGCCAGAGGAGGAGCAAAAGTCACTAGGGATGGTTAAGTGTATCAGGATCCAGGAGAATATGAAGCCAACATGAGTGGTTGCATACATAGGAGAAGTGGGGGCCGGTAATCCACCACACGAGGAACCATTGGGAACCAGATGCTCCATAATGTCCGAGCCAGCCTCAGCGACGACGTTGGGAACAACCATGGAGAGAATGGTAGTGGCTATTCATAAATTCACAGATTCTAACCAGGGGCCAGGACCGAGGTTGTGGGGGTGGATACCCAGGGAGAGAGAAAAAACAACCTTCAACCAACCTGGAATAATCTGCTACCAGTATGGAAAGAAGGGGCACATCGGCAAGAGGATGCAGAGAAGAGCCGCTACCCCTCACGGAGTCTACCAGCTACACCGGGGGCGGGCAGTCGCGACACCACACACAACCAGGCAGGTCACGCACACGCCGCACGCATCCATCACCTCGCGTCCCCAGTCAGGAAAGCTGTCGGTCACCTCACCGGGCCCATGGCCCGAGTCCAGTACAAAGTGGTGACATCTAACGAGACGAGTTTGAGCAGAGGCGACAGGGACATCAATATTGATGGGCACAGTTGGGGGAAACAGTATTCGCATTTTAGTTGACACGGGGGCGTCGGTAACCATAATTTCCTTGTTGGTTTTTGACATGGCAGTACAAAATCGGCGATTAGACCCCGTTCAGAGTCAATTTGAAGCCGCGAATGGGGGAAGCATGGGAATTGTAGGACAAGTAAATAAAGTAATTTGTATTGGGTGGTTACGTGTTATGGGCCCATTTCTAGTCTCTTTTAAATTGGCTGTTCCCTGCCTACTGGGGACTGATTACACTGTGTAACATTTTTTTTGTTCCTGGGTAGTAAGTGTTATTTCCTAATTGCTCATGTCTCAAAAGTACAGAAAATGGCTATTATTCCCCACCAACTTTGCTTTACTGACTAGGACAGTGATATTTTGAAATTTACCTATTTTCCAGATTCAGTGCTGAGTAAACTTGGAGTAACTTATAAAGCATTCTAGAACTTTCCAGTAATATAAATAATAGTGTAGTGACATCGCGGATGTCACTGTGTAATGCCAGACTTAGAGAGGCACGGCGTGCGATGTATAAACATCGCGGACACCACATATATGTGGGTGCAGTACCGGCCCTAGAGGGGCTCAGTGAGGGCTGACTGATAGTGCTGGATGGCACCACGCTCTTCGCACAGTGCCGACCCCTACATCATCAGTCCCTAACCTTTTTGGCACCAGGGACCGGTTTCGTGGAAGACAATGTTTCATTGACCGGGGGGGGGGGGTTCATCGTTGGGTATTTCCCCCTTTTCAAAGAAGCTCTCCAGCAACGTTTGTTTTTTACTCATTTTTGGCTTGTGGGCTTACCAACACTGTGACTGAGACAAGTGCGCAGTGCGGGAAAGAGGCGCGGATGGAAGTGGTAAATAAAATAATGGGTGGGCCATGCGCGGACTCACCGCTCACCTCCTGCTGTGCGGCCCGGTTCCTAACAGGCCACAGACTGGTACCGGTTTGTGGCCCGGGGGTTGGGGACCCCTGCCCTACAGGATAGGGTGTGAGAGTGCCGGCCACGGGAATGGGGTTACTATAGCCTGTGGCACTGGCTGACCCCAGAGGACACGTGACCGGTTAAGTCTACACAGGGCCCCCACGTGGGGGCTAGGCATGGTCATGTGTTAGGGTCGAGATCCTGCTCGAGGATTCCAGAAGGTGGTCGTGGCTAAGGGTGGGGCCAGCCATGCCACAGAGGATATAAACCGGGTCCCCGAGAGGGACCGGCTGCTGTTGTTCATCCTGAAGAATCTATGTTCTACGTCCTACAGAGTCACCAACACGTGGAACGGGGCACGAGCTGTGGTCCGATCTGTTGTAGCTAGTTACGATGTAATTAGTGTAGTTAGCCTGGTGGTCCACCACCTTAGGTTGCTATCTTGTTATGGGGCAGTTACCCCTTGTGTTGGTATTAATAAATGTGTTGCCTCCAAAGAGTACGTCTGCGACACAGTTGAACTCACTACAGTAGTATAATTACAGGAGCCTTAAGCCCACCAGGTCAGCTTAGTTCCAGCTGCCTAAGTGGATACATATCTGCATTTTTCTGAGATGGCATCAAGAGGCTGCAAGCATCCGGCAGACACATTTTGCTATGTCTGCGCCCAATTTATCAAGACGAGTGAAAAAGTACTCTGTGGAAGCATCTGCTAAGATGTGTGAGGCCTACAAGGTATGCCTGTCGGGGATCAAGACAAACCCTGGGCACCTCATTTCACCTGCAAGCAATGCAAAAAAACTCTGGAAGGTAAGATGGACAATTGTTACTCGGAATTTAATGTTATAAATTTTGTAAAAAAAAATGTAAAAGTTTTTTTTATTTCAAAATGTTTTACAATTTTCAATGTTATTGAAAAAGATATCATACATGAAAAATGTTGCGAGAATCTCTTACACATTAGTCATGGGTGAAATAAATGTATTTTTGTAGGATGGTACAGAGGGGAAAAGAGAGCCATGAAGTTTGCTATCCCAAGAATTTTGCGGGAATCCACTGACCACTCAAGCAACTGCTACTTCTGCATGGTGGACCCTTCCAAACGTCGGACTGGCAAGAATGCACCTGCTATCACGTATCCGGACCTTCCTTCAGCCATCGCCCCAGTGCCACACTGCCATGAGCTCCCTGTACCCACTCCTCTGGAGAGAGAGCAGCCGTCTTTCGAAGAGAGCAGCAACTCAGAGAGCGAGGAAGACATTGTAGATCCAGATGACAATTTCAGAGGTGGAGCTGAGGAGAGAACCCCCATACTACAACCAAAAAGATCTCAACGATTTGATCAGAGATCTTGGTCTCACCAAGACCAATGCCAAGCTTTCGATGTCTAGGCTCAAGCAGTGGAACTTGTTGGATTAAAGTGTGCAAGTCACAGATGAGAGGAAGCGTCATCAACCTTTTTGCAGCTTCTTCACCCGTAAAGATGGGCTCTGCTTCTGCCACAATGTGACCAGTCTGTTTGAGGCAATTTGAATCACCTGTAACCAGAATGAGTGGCGCCTCCTCATTGACAGCTCATCCAGAAGCCTCAAAGCCGTGCTGCTCCATAATGGTAACATGTACCCGTCTCTTCCCGTGGCTCACTCGATGCACCTCAAAGAGGATTACAACAGCATCAAGACCTTGCTTGGACGCCTTGAAGTATGAGTACGGCTGGGAGGTCATCGGAGACTTCAAAATGGTGGCATTCCTGATGGGTGTCCAAGGTGGTTTTACCAACTTTCCCTGCCTTTGGGACAGCAGGGACACCAAGGTGCACTACCACAGGCGGGACTGGCCACAGCGGACCGAGTTCTCTGTGGGGAGGAACAACGTCAAGTGGGAGCCACTAGTGGATCCCCGGAAGGTGCTGATGCCACCACTGCACATCAAATTGGGCCTTATGAAACAAATTGTCAGAGCTGTAGATAAGGAGTTGGCAGCCTTCAAGTACCTTCAAGACTTCTTCCCTAAGCTGTCTGAGGCAAAGGTCTTCATCAGACCACAGATAAAGAAAATCCTGGAGTGCAATGAATTCCCCAAGAAGCGCACTAGTAAGGAGAAAGCGGGTTGGAACAGCTTTGCAGCAGTGGTTCGTGGCTTCCTAGGCAATCACAAGGTCGAAAACTATGTGTAGCTGTTTGGGACTCTGGTGAAGAATGACGGCACAGTGGGCTGTAGGATGTCCCTCAAAGTCCATATCCTTGATGCTCATCTTGATAAATTCAAGGAGAACATGGGAGCATACTCGGAGGAGCAAGGCGTGCGCTTCCACCAGGATATACTGGACTTTGAACACCGCTACCAAGGACAGTATAACGAGAACATGATGGGAGACTACATTTGGGCGCTGATTCGTGAAAGTGATTTACAGTATAATAAATCTAGAAAAACTACTTACTTTTAAATATGTTGTAGTCATTTTTGTATTACTTTAGTATAAATGCATGTACATTTTTATTCATGTTGTTTTTTTCTGATTTTATGTGAACGAAAATACACAAATGTTTCAGAAACTCATGGAATTGGTGCTTGCAGGACTTAAAAGGGAAAAATGTCATATATTTGGATGATGATTGTTTTTGGCTTCTCCTTCGAGGAGCATTTAGATAAACTGAGACAGGTCTTCCTTAGAGTGTGTGCTGCCCAGCCTATGCTCAAACCATCCAAATGTCACTTAGTGCAGTCGTCTGTTCGTTATTTGGGACATGTCATTAGCGCCACAGGAGTTGCCACAGACCCAGAGAAAACACTTTGCATCAGGGAATGGCTGACACCAACTTCAGTTGCCAAGGTCACGAGGTTTGTTGGCTTTGTGTCGTATTACCGCTGCTTTGTGCCACAGTTTGCGAGCATTGCCAGGCCCCTGCATGCACTGACTGCCAAAAACCAGAGGTTTCACTGAGGGGAGGCCGAAGAGAAGGCCTTTACTACCTTGCGTGAACAGTTGCCAAAGGCTCCACCTCTAGCATACACTGATGTTTCTCTGCCATTCATTCTTGACACTGATGCGAGTGATGTAGGCATCAGGGGAGTTTTGTCAAAATTGCAGAATGGAGTAGAGGTGGTCATAGCCTACTTCAGTCACGTGCTGTATCCAGCCAAGCAACGCTATTGCGTAACCCGCAGGAAGCTACTGGCAGTTGTCCACTTGCGCCGGTGCAGTCTACAGGGGACGGTCACGCTATGGCTCAAACAGACTATCACCTGGCACTTACACTTGAAGAATGGATCATGCTACAATCGACCGATGGATCCTTGCGAGTGCTATGAGAACGGGCAGAGACAAACACACTGCAAGGGGAGGTGTTACCGGAGCCGCACTTCATTGTGTCGCACAGATTGTTTATTTATTGGGATAGCAAGTCTCATAGGCGTTGTCTTGTAGTACCAGAAGCTCTGCATCAACAACTATTCCACGAAATCCACATTAACCGCTTGGTACATCTGGGTCACCGAAAGACACTTAACTTTGAAACATAACTACTATTGGTGGGGCATGTCGGCAGATGTGCAGAAATGGGTAGTGGAATGCCTGGAGTGCATTAGCCGGAAACCACCCGCTCAACTAGAGGCCAACCGAGTTTCGGTATCGGCGCCGAAAGTTGGTAAATAGCCTCTTTTCGGCATACTTTCGGTTTCGGCCGAAAGTAAATTTTTAACTTTCGGTTTACTTTCGGTTTTGGCCAAAAGTAATTTTTTTACTTTCGGTCTGGTTTCGGTTTCGGCCGAAACTGATATTGACTTTCGGTCATCAACCAAAGATCTATTTTTAGAATATAACGCTCGTGCTATATCTATCACTCTGCCTATCGGCCGGTCAGTCGGCGCGAGGCAATCCTATGCGATAGGCTGCAAACACACACACGTCAGCAGCAGCAGCTTGGGAGTGAGGTTACAGCCGCAACCATGGTCTGCTAATATATATACGAACGGTCAACAGACGGCAGCCTGCATTTCCATCCGTGGGTGGAGTCTCTTTGGCGGGATGACAACAAAGTACCTTTGTTATCTGTTCTCAGCCGCCTGCCCGCCTTGGCTTATGCGTTGCGTTCGCTTCAGTCTACACGCGTGTTGATACCGATATTCGAAGTGTGACAATATTGATATTCAGTTATTTAATAGTTCCGTAGTGAATTATTAATAACTAAATTACACATCTGAGTGAAGTAAAAAATTAAAGTTAATAAACAGAGCAGTTAATCACCGTGAAGAATGTCAAAACATGCGGTGTGGGATTACTTCACTAAAGTCGATTCTGATACAAGCAAGGCGCAGCAACCTGCTGGGCGAGAATGCAGAAAAACTGTTGTTTCTTAACTACAACATTCGTTTGTTTGGATATAATTACTAAGTAAGTAACACCTAAAGATTTGATATTTAGTGACTCTTACTGCAGGCTCTGAATGATTAGTTCTAGATTTCTTTTTAATTAAAGTAGCATTGCATCATGACATATTTAATAAATCTTGTGTTCGGTAACTTCGGTTATAGACCTTTCTGTTTCGGTCTCGGTCGAAAGTGTAGTTAAACTTTCGGCTTCGGTTTCGACCGAAGTGTAGATAAACTTTCGGTTTCGGCTTCGGTTTCGGCCAAAAGTCAATTTTTTACTTTCGGTCTGGTTTCAGTTTCGGCCGAAACCAGAAATTAAGTTTCGGTCGGCCTCTACGCTCAACCCATATGACCACCCTTGCAGTCCATTACAGTAAAATGGGTAAATGAGCTCATTGCATTGGACATTTTGGGCCCGTTTCCACGCACCACAAAGGGGAACAAATATTTGTTGGTGGGTGTGGAATATACTACCCGCTGGCCCATCAATCAGACTGCTGCTTTGATTGCAGGGTTATGCATTGAACAAGAGAGCGCCAGAACAGCTGCTTACAGACCAAGGAAAGAAAGTTTCCCCCAAACTACTGCAGGACATTTCTAACATACTGGTTACTAAGAAGGTCCGAATGTTCCCCTACCATCCTCAAACGGATGGCATGGTGGAAAGACTGAATCGCACCTTGTCCAATATGTTACGTCATGTTTCAGACTTCCAAAAAGATTGGGACATGCATATACCAGGGATACTGACGGCTTACCGCCTGGCTCCACATGCATGCACGGGGTTCTCACCATTCTACTTAATGTACAGCAGAGAACCAGAGCCACCCATTGACAGTCACATAGTCCAACTTCCAAGCAAATCGGTCTCTTGGTCAGCTGCTCTTCACCTGCCCTTGTAGAGACTGCAGGAGGCTTGTACAGCTGCTCTCATGTCATCGACTGCGGAAAAGGGTGCGAATGAGCGTCGGAGGTTGGCATGTGCTAATCCGGTTCCCTTCAAGGTGGGGGACCTTACATGGCTCCATTGTCCTCAGGTTCCGATAGGTACGTCGCAAAAGTTGCATCGCTCTTGGCAAGGGCCTGTTAAGATTGTGGATGTGCTAAGGCCTCAATGTGTGCGGATTCAACTAGGATATCGTCGATGGTTCGTACATCCTAGCCATCTTAAGCCACAATAGGTCATCTTCGCTGCCTGCCACTTCATCATCACTGCCTGGAGCTGTGGCACCACATCTGGGTCAATGTTGCAGACCCCAGTTCTCTCACCTGTTCTCCCCCCTCCCTCAGGCGCGGCAGTAACAACAGAGGCCAACGAGCAACATGGATCCCTATTGCCTGAAAGAGTGCACCTACGAATAAGCTCACTTGCTTTTGGTGGAGGGAGACAAATGACGTCAGACGTACCACCTCCCGACGCGGAAGGTGAGAGGTCAGAAGGTGCACGCAGCAAATGGGAGATGAGAAGAGGTGTGATGAGGGATGAGAGAAGAGAAGTGATTGGATGGAGGAAAATGGGAAAGAAAGAGTGGGAAGAGGATCAGGGAAGGCTCGGGGCATTTTGATGGTGGAAATTGACATGAACGCACGCTGCAGAAGATAATAAAATCTTCTCACACCTTTTCTACAAACAGTATCATGTTTTTATTTTATATAATAAATACTGCTATGCACGTACGTATATCGGAAACTTTGTGAGTGCAGTGTTTTATTTTCTCTAGATCTGCATATGCTACAGTGTATATATTGTAAAGGATACGTGTTACCAAATACATAAATGATACTTGTATAGACAAGCATGGTGCGTGTATCTATATTAAATATGTATTGTCTTGACAAAACTGATTGTGGATGTTGACATTATGAAAGTAAATATTTTTCAGAGGAATTTTCGTGACTCCTCCACTCACATTCTCAGTCATGAAACCACGCCTACCTGCAGCTGACTGGCCTTGATGGCTGACAGCATGATGCCCTGTGGTTTGAGCACGGGTAGGATCTGGTTGCCGATGATGGTGGCCACCACCTGGCCCTGTCCATTGGTCAGGATCTGCGGGGTCATGGACTGCACCGCCAGGCCGCCCATAACCCCACTCCCCGCTGAGCCAGCCGCAGTGCCAGCTGCACCTCCTTCAAGGGGGATGGCTCCGATTATCTGAAATTCACAATGGTGGCATTTGTAAGTAAACATGTTTCTTAACAAAAAACACAGCGAAGGAGGACATTTGTTATCAAGGGAGCTTGACCTTAGATTCCCTACCACGCCCCATCTCCCTTTATGCCTCATCCCCCCCCCTTTCCCTGCTTAGCTCACCTTACATTCACACACAGCACGATTTGCATGAATGTATGCTTTTGTGTTTGCCCTTGGAGTGTGCTGTACATTTGCATGTTTATTAAAATACAAGGGGTTTTTCGGTGGCACCTGTGGCACCCCTCACAACTATTTACGGCCTTCGGCCAGGAAAGTCACAAAAAAATTGCACACGAATGACGCATTTACGCAAGCACCCGATGCTTCGTTTTGAAGTTTAAAAATGAAACAACTTTGAATTGTATTATGTTTTGAATTAGATCATTGTATTTCTTCATTAAAAGCTAATATCATTTTACATCTGGAAGACTTAATTGAAAAGGACATTTCATGTGAATTTTCTCTCGTCGTTAAGTAGATGGCCTTGCTGGGGGTTTGGTTCGATGCGGACTTTCACCTGTTTGGGATTGCAGGATCGAGATAAGGCGACATAGAGCTGGCCGTGCGAGAAGACCGCCGTCTGCAGATCGATTCCAACGTAATCAAACGTCTGTCACTGTGTCTCCGTCGTTCATGCAGGGGGCGTGTAGGTTTGCAGCGCCCCCTACATGAAAACGACGGAAAGTGCAGCGTTCATCACATAAAGTTGTGCGCTTATATAAGGGTATTACTTTGGAAAGTGCAGTATTGGTGATGGTCAAGTATTATGGTGTTTCTCCCAGTGGGACACTCGCTTGAGCTTGGTGATTGTATGCCATTGTGCAGTGTTTTCTAACTTGAGCGTAGGAGGGAATGTGTTTACAGCTGTAGCTCGAAAGTTAAGGAATATGAATAAGAATCGGGCATGTCCATAATATAATCTGTATTTGATCAATTAGTTGATTATGATAATTATTGATTGATGATCTTGAGAATGACCATGATGATCATTATTATAATGAGCTATAAAGAAAGGCCATTGCCAGAAACGTCACTGATTATATTTTATTATTTTAAGGAATTGTTGTTCACGTATGTGTGGAGATGTTTTGTCAATTGTACTCGTGCACCACTACCAACGCAGCATCATAAAATAACTTGCATCATCACACAAAGTTGACAAGTTTGTAACCATGCTTATGCTATTCTTACAGTCAGGTACAAGAGGGAAACCAACCCCTATTCAGGTGTTAGGTGGACTATTACATTGCGCAATTTTGAGAGATAGTGATGGCTTGGAGAGGTCTTTATCCACCAGAGGATTGATCATGGCTGATGATGAGTATGGGAGGTAGTATGTGTCTGGGCTGGGTGAGTGCTGTTGGCACTGCTGCTGCTCCACACACCTGGCCCTGAGCGGTGGTGACCAGTTGTCCAGTGAGCCCTGCCAGGCAGGGCAGGGTGCTCGCCAGTATTTGGCTGGAGGATGGAGTGAAGCTGGCAGCCACCGCTGCAATAGCCGACGGTGTTATCTGGCTGGCCAGCAACTGCCAGATGGTGTTACCATGAAACACAGATCATAATACTATTATATTCGCATGAACGTGAAACACATTGCTCACAATGGATTCTGGGATTTGCAAACTTTTAATTTAGTGGCCTGGCTAGGATGTGTTTGCAACATTGCCCTTTTCTTAACTGACCTTGTTTTTAATTCCCTTTGTTAGAGAGATGAATTATGAACCTGCTACTCTTCTGGCTTCAAACAAAAACGGCAACACCCAGGTGGGAAGAGAAATTGCAGAAGTAGAAGAAGTGTTACGGCTGACTTTGATCAGATGATGGTCCGAAAGAATGGCACATTAAAACACTCTCGTGACCGGTATCTGAAATATTCATCAAAGCTTCTGGCTTGGCCAGTTGGGATCCTGTGTGCAGATGGCATGACACAACTGAAAATCTGCAGATATACTTCAATGGGAAAATTATCAGGTTTTTTTAAATGTATAATGTATGACTAACGCTCAGTCTGCAGTCTAGTTTAGATATAGATTTGCAATTCCAAAAGTGCAAGACTGCTGAATTGCTGGTTTTGAAAGAGTGAAAATTGGGTTGTTTATTAAAACCATGAAGCATCTGTTTAAGTCAACCATCTCACCTAGTGAGAAGCACAGATTGCAGCACTGCTGATAACGGTATTAATATAAACAACAAATGTTGAATTACATCTCGTTGATCAGGATGACAAAATACCTCAAAAGTCATCTTAATGGCAGTTTTTAATTAAATGGAGACAACATCTATGATATGTATCATGTATGTTGTCAGTAAATTAAATCAGATTAATTAAACACGGTTCAACAACAACTTTTACCAACAGTAAAGTCGGCACCCTTTGAGAAATGTTTCATATTACAATGTCACGATATGAAGATTAAGGAGGTACTTGGGCCAATAGTGACGTATTAGTGCAGTTATTCTGCTTCTCAGACTGAAAGATTCCACGAACTATTTTCCCTCTTGGCTAATTTCCATTTCGTGGCATATAGGTGTAAACATGAACATTAAATGTAACTGACCAATTATTTTCTATATTCATGTATTCATACTGCTTCGGTGCTTAACCCAGACAAATGTATATTCCAAAAATCCATTATGACGTTTACATTCGGTACTTAATTTATAAGCTGAACTTTGACGAATGCTGGCACAGTTAAATATATACCTTTGGTTGTGATTAAGCTCAAAGAGGGTTTAATTCAGGCATAGGTACCATCCCTTCAGAACACCTCGATCAATTCATCATATACCTTTTTGTTATTAATGAGACAGATAACATTGCAACTTTAAGTAATGATGAAAACTTGCAAAAAACACATTTTTTAAATTATATCCCACGAGTATTACATTGGTCATAGACAATGGCGGAGCCAGGATTTTCAGGCCAATATTAAATTAATACAATCCGTACTCATTCCCTCTGTGACCACTGGCGGAGCCAGTAGGGGGGGGGTGGGACGTGCCCCCCCAATGATCCGATCGAAATTCCTATCGAAATCCCTAATTTCTATCGGATCATTGGGGGGGCACGTCCCACCCCCCCCCTACTGGCTCCGCCAGTGGTCATAGAGTGAATGAGTACGGATTGTATTCATTTAATATTGGCTTGGTTGAAACATGACCTGACCGTGGCGTTTGCATAGTGTAATATCAATATTAAATTAATGCAAACAAAATTACACTTGGAATTTCAGCCTTGAGATGCATTTGTAAAAAGTGAGCCTTCATCTGGAACAAACTGCTGAGCAAATATAGTTCTTAAGCTTCTTATTCCAAAACAGTGGGTCCAAAGCGGCATTGGTAGCAATTTCACAGTGCTGAACTCTCACAGAGAATTGTGATGGCACACATTTTACCAAATGTACAGGTCAGTCAACAGAATTTGGGGCATATTGGCAGTGGCCTTGATTTTTTGCTTACATTGGCTGATAAAATATGTTCGAGGGAAAATAGCCACTAGAAAGACCCATGCCAGGTACAAATGCATACACTCAATGCTGCCCCTGACTACTCATTGGGCATGTTGATTTCTGGAACTGAAGTGTTCAGGGGAGGAACGGGTGTCAAGGGAGAAGGTTTACAGTATTTCCACTGGTTTGGAGTTATATACATGTTAGGAGAAGAGTGCACCAAATATAACTACAGTTCTAAGGCAGGATGCTGACATAATAGCAATGTCGAAGTGTGCATTAAGCTGCTTGGGTATTTTTAAAAGCAGTTCAAGATCCAACTTGCATTCTGCACTTTCTTCAGGTTCTATCATTGTAGTTTGATGCCCTACCTTTTATATAATTTATATAAGGGGGTACTACGGTGGTGAGATGTTAACTATCTCGCCTGGTATACTGGAGGTCGTAGGTTCGATTCCGAACCTGACTTTCGTATATTTAGAGTTTGCATGTTCTCCCTGTGGTCACGTGGGGTTCCTCTTCATGTTCACATGATAAGCCACTTCGATGAGCTATCATTTGTTGCCAGGTCACTTCTGAAAAAGATCTACAATATGTAAAGTCAGTGAGCTTACCTGCTAAAATTAAAATAGTTTTGTTTATTTTTATGCACAATAACTAGTTTCAAATTCAGTATTGCTGGAATTTTTATTAGCTATACAAAGTGATCACATTTCAGAAATTAACACTCCTTCATTCTCAATTGTAATTTGCGGAAGTGAAATCATAACATTTGTTTTAATAAGTGCTGCCACTATAGTCCTCATCGTCTCCATTCCCATCAACAGTGTGAATAAGATTATTATAGTACTTTATACTGTGTAAGACCACTTCAGACATATTTTGCAAGTATGTAGCTCTTATTCAAATATTTATGTTCATCACTCTCATGCAAACCTTATTTTCTCACATGAAATGGGCTCTCTCATAGTTTTAAAAATAAACCTTTAAGTCTCATAAGTCATCCCCAATATTCCTCGTAAATCTAAAATGGTCCATTCTGCTTTATGTCTCCTTGTTTAGAGAAGTACATTACAAACTACCTTTAAGAGATCCTTCTTTACTAATGGAAGTTGCTGTGGGCCTTTTGTTCTCCTGTGCTACAATAGATACCAATGTCGCCTTCGGAGAAAACAGTCAAGCGGCAGGTCACGTCTGGTGGGGTTAAAGCATAGAGTTTTCCATCTCTTCCAAGACCTCTGGTCAGTGTGGAAAAGTAGATCACATGCCCTCGAGTGGAGGCCCTTCCATGATCAGTGGCATGAACAAGACATTTCAGGGCTGCACTTTTACCTTTTTTAATGATAACAATTTGCATTTCCTTCACCACAACAAAGGCAAGCCATGCCAGTTGTGTGAATGTTACGCGGGTTTTGGTAACTTACTCTGTTGTACTTGAGCTTGTCTTCCACTGCGGCCACTGGGCATGTCCCTCCGCTGCCGCCGCCGCCGCCACTGGTGGTGCAACTGAGCGAGTGGCTGTGGGTCTCGGGCAGGACGCCATCCTGGCTGCAAGAGGGCTGCCCAAGGGCACCGACGACGGGAGGCGCAGTGGAAGAAGGGGAGCTCAGAGGGGTGCTCTGTTGTGACTGCTGGTGCAGCAGCTGCAGCTGGTGCAGATGCTGGAGGTGCGTACTGAGAGAGGAGGTAGCTGCAATGGAAAACGTCGTTACACTACTGTATTGGTACGTTTAAACAGTGTATAATTTAATATGCATCTCCTTAATCTTCATCTTATACCTCATTATCTGGTATGAAATAGTTGTTTTTTCTTAAATAAAAAGGCTTATGTCTCTCAGGGAAAGTGGAAACAAATAACGAAATATGCAGGGAACACCTGCGGGCTATCTGCCCATAGATCGTGATGATGACTCTCGAAAATCTATAAACTGTACATTGATGCTTGAGACATGAAGACGTTAACATTAATCGATATGGAGATTTTGACTTCAGAGATAATATTAATACCCATCAAAAATATGCATTTCCATGTTAACATCTAAATATATCATCTTTATCATCAGCCATGGTCTAGCCACTGCTGGATGATGGCCTCGTTACACCATTGCCATTAAAATGACCCCATCACACCATCTCCATAGTTTTATCATCTAAGGTGCATTATTTTCCTCGGCTGTTATTCTGTAAACTTTTTTTTGTATTGCAGCCATACAATGTTCAGGAGAAGAAGAAAAAAAGAAGAGAACAGGAAAAGAGGTAATGACAAAAACGCCTTATCAAAATTACAACCATTACAGTGCATTCAGCAGAAGTGGCATTTTGAGCAAAGCCATTAAAGGCACTCTGCCCAAGTCTTACAGCGGCCATGATATACGGTTGCTTTATGATGTCGGCTTGACAGTCGCTGTTTAAGCTGCCCCAAACGTGAAGGGAAATCGATAGTTCTGAAGCGAAATACAATTTTAATGGTGGCGAGAGCGTCAGCACATCACTTGTAATGGGGTCACTGCGTATTTCATCATCTGTGCAAACGCGCCGCTGCATGAGCATTCAGTGCACAGTGGCTGCAGAAAGGAAGGTCCGATATTGCCTCGTGATATTGCCTCCTGGCTTGCACACTGCCAACGAAACTTATAGAAAGTTTCCATCACCGTTGCGCTAATCCCCAAATTTGGTAAACAAAAAATAAACTGTACAATTAAAAGCCACTTTACGTCTGCACATTTCATCAAACGGTACAACATTGTACAATTATATTCAAGGTACAACAGAATGAAGTTAAACAATTCAAATATAAACAATAACGTCATAACGGTTTTTTTTTTTTGTGTGTACACGGCATTGCGTTTATAGTTAAGAGACGCGAAAGCTTCGTTTAAAACTCCTCTCGGGACAGACATCCACAAAGGTGGGAGTGGGGAAAGAAAAAAAACCACCCCCCACAGGAAGCCCTTATTTGTGTTCGGCGGTCATTGCTGTGGCTGAGACCAGTGTCATGGAGGCGACCGCGCTTGTGTGACGGGATTGATCCATCGTCCCGTCACGTTGAGCGGACGAGACAGTGTGATTACAGCCGTACCCAGCCGCCGCACCCACGCCTGACAGGACCGCACTCCTCGCACCGCACAACCAAAGCCCAATGCATAATTTATTCCCGTGGTGAATTTTTTTTTTATACCCACAAAATAGGGGGTTGGAGGGGGGGGGAAATCGATACCGCCACGCTTGCTGCAAAATGGGTTTTTGAGGCCGATGGGGTCAGCATGCAGAGGGGGGTCACGAGGCGCCGTGTGGGATGCGGAGGCCGTGCCGTCGTGTGTACATGTTTGGGTTTGCCTATTGTTTGCCTTCCCCCTCTCGAATTGCTCTATTTCCTACTCGGAACTCACGCAGAAAGGCCCCGCGTGGATATACATTTAAAATATTTGCGCTTCAATCGTTTTTTTTTGTTGAATACATTTATCAGTAAAAAAAATTACTAAAACACCAATCGCATCTCTTCACACGGCTTGGCGCGTAGATGTACAACTGTTTTAAGCAGAAGTGTTGAGGGGCTCGGTTGTGAATCACGATCCATTCAATATTATGGTAGTAATATGGTTCTTTTCAGCATGTGTGGGAAATGTGAACTGTAGGCATCAAACGTGCCTTCGTCACCTTTCACTGGGTCTAGGTAGCAGGCCGCTTTATAAAGCACCAAGCACATGCAGCAGGATCGTCATAATGATGGATGGCAAGCCATCTCTTATCTCCCTGATCAACAGCTTCAAATTAATGGAAATAACTCTAACATGCTTAAAACAGTTGATGTACACAGGAGCAAATTTTAATTAAAGATCAAAGTCATACAAAAAACAATACTTTCCGCTCTGCAAACTTTATTCACAAGCAACGATCACAATAAGATACTGAACACTGCTGTTCCTGCAGCATGAGGATTCTCATATAAAGTATGTATGGGGTAATTTGTGTCCATTAATTTCAGTTCATTGGATTACGTTTTACCAGCTGATGACCCATAGAGATGAAAAGTCTATCAATTGTGGAAAACAGAAACGATCACTGATTGTTAAATTGGAAAAAGTATACTTTTTGTTTAAATATTTGTTTATTTAGGTGGTTGTCATACCTTAACCTAAATTTGTGTCTGGAATAGGAGGGTGACCCTTGAGAATTAAATACAAAACCTCTAATGGGGTTCTTACCTTGACACTACCCTACACGAGCTTTCAGTCGATTCCACAGCAAAGTTATTGGAGCATGAATAGCAGTAATAGATTTAGGTCATAAGATTCAATCATACCCACTAAACATACCTCCTGAACCGATTTGTTCATTCAAGTACTGTAGTTTTAATCAAGCATCATCATTGCTTCTGATTGCCGTCTGCTGGCAGCAGTACTTAAATGTACTCCCTTGTGGATTTGAAACACACGTTATGATGAACCTATAGCAAAAGCCAAATCGTTCCATGTGACATCAGCAATTATATTAAAGGAACACAAACGCAAGCACTTTTGAAGATCTGGAGTTTAAGTAAACAAATTAATAAAAAAACATGGATCTTCTCCCAATTATGTTGCATGAATATGATGGCATTTCAACAAAGGTAATGGGTTGTGATTATAAGCCGTATCATACACAGATACTTCTAATATCACAGTATTGGTTTTTCATTGCCCGTTCTGTGTATCATGTTTACTCCTGTGCTGAATCTAAATGTGTCTCTCCATAATAAGAGGTTTTTGGGTTAGATCGCGTAAATATATAAATGTGCCGTTAAAACCTGCCACCATCCGACACAGCCAACTAGTAAGGGTTGTCATGTAAACAGAACATGCCAATTCGTCACGAGTACAGCACACCGGTGTGTTGGAGAGCCAAGCCACAACATTTACAAACTGAGTACGACGTTTCACCAATAATTACAACTAGCTTCATCAGGCGACAGCCAGATTTGTGGAAAAGTATTACTGTTTCGTTCCTTATATAGAGGCATAGATGTGGTTACCACCCTTCTGCGCTCTTGCACAATGATGTGGGGGGGGCGGGTTACTGAGGCAACGTACATGATGCATGTGCATTATGCGAGCCCTTGGAACTTGTCCTTCCTGTCTATTGTGTTTATTAAAATAGCCCTACCAATGGTAATCCTTATTTAAGTACGCTGCCCTTTGTAGGCATGCATTTAAATAATGTATTATTTGATAATTCGCTTCCACGCAGCACTAAGACGGTAGCGATCCGAACGGTTAAAGTTATTTAGATTTCTTTCAATTTCGATAGATTATCTAACGAGTCTTCGCCAGTAGTAGCTAGTTTTGCACAAAACTTCAACATTATCAACATTAATTGAGTGTCCTTGTTGGCATGCGTGTTCTGCTACTGCTGACAGTTGCATTTGGGAGAATTTAATATTTCTCTGATGTTCTTTTAGTCTCGTGCTGAACATTCGTCCTGTTTGCCCAACATAACATTTACCACACGTGCAGTTAATCCTGTACACACCTTCTGTTGATAGCTTCGATAATACATCTTTTGTACCAAAATGCGTTCAGTGTAGCTTTGCCGTGTGGCCAGATCACCAATGTGTCATCCACATATCTAAACAAAGCAGATGGTTTTAGTGTACTTGAAGCTATTGCTTTTGTTTCAAAATCTTCCTTGTAATCCCCCCCCCCCCCTACAGTGTGCAAGAGCGCAGAAGGGGGGTCAACACATCTATGCCTCTATATAAGGAACGAAACAGTATTACTTTTCCACAAATCTAGCGGTCGCCTGATGAAGCTAGTTGTAGTTACTGGCAAAACGTCGTACTCAGTTTGTAAATTCATAGTAAAGGTTTTTGGGTTAGATCGCGTTTATTTATAAATGTGTCGTAACCCTCCACCACCCGACACGGCCAATCAGCAAAAAAAGTGTCACGTTGACAAAGGACAAATAATTCACTACTTCAGCCCACCGGTGTGTTGAAGAGTTAATCCACATTTACAGTTTGAGTACGACGTTTCGCTGGTAAATACTTCCAGCATCATCGGGCAATTCGCCAGAATGGTGAAGCCCTCGCTTGCTCCCGGTTTTATATAGAGCAGCAGGGTGACGTCATCACTTAACTCATCAGGTGCAGTGATTAGAGGCGGAGGGGGGGGGTAATGTGATTATATAATCGATTAGTAATCAGTCATTGGTTATGATTAGTAATGAGTTGTAGATTAGTAATTCTTTAAATCAAAATGTAATTGTAAATGTTGTGGCTTGGCTCTCCAACACACCGGTGTGCTGTACTAGTGACGAATTGGCATGTTGTTTATGTGACAACCCTTACTAGTTGGCTGTGTCGGGTGGTGGCGGGTTTTAACGACACATTTATATATTTGTAGTGGAGTAGAAAATACACATGGGTAAATTGGCCATATACAGTAAATACAAACAGTGTGGGTCATGTAAGGTCGGGCAGGTGATGAAGTCACGGGTGGCGTAAACAAGCCAAAGTAATTAAGGGAGTCAAGGGACGAGGGCTGTGATTGGTCGAGAGGCTGTTAGCGTTAAGTGTCGGCGTCACGGAGTCTGGGCCGTTAGACAGGTGCGGAGCTGGTGGGAAAATGCCAGCGAGGCACGTGGCAATTAATTAAGGCTGATTGGAAAGGGGATAAAAACGCTAGGTGATTTGGATGGCGGGGGGAGTTGGTG